TGGGGTCGTGTGGCGCAATGGCAGCGTGCGTGACTCGGAATCAAGAGGTCCTGGGTTCGACTCCTGACATGCCACCGATCTTGTGCCCTTGGGAAAGGCACTTTACACAACTTTCCCCTCTAGACTCAAGTGAAAGTGAGTATTGTCTTACCAGTATCCGTTTTTATGTGCGGGACACAACACCAGCAACAGCTGCCTCTGTTCCGCGTCAGTGGTCGAAATACTTTTTTTCAGCACTCTGCAATATTGCAGAAGAGTCAAAATTTTGTTCTGCAATTTGGAAATACTTTCTGCAAATACACAAGCCTCCATACTACAATCTTGCAGGTTTATAAGCATGAACTATTGATTAATATGCAAATTAGTGAAGACAAATGTTTGGAAGTCCAAAAGAAACAAAAGATAGACAAGTCAAGACAAGGTTGATGCAAATTAGTGAAGAAGCTCCTGTTGTTTCAGAATAGGAGCTTCAGTGTTGTCTGTCCTTGGGGCCAAGAGCGCCAAATCCCAAGTGCCAATTTTTCCTTCTGCAAAATTGCAGATTGTATAAATTTTTCTTCTGCAATCTTGAAAATCTATCTGCAGATTGCAGACTGCAGACAGGTATTTCGAACACTGCGCGTGTATTGCTTTGTTGCAGTTTCAATAAATCCAATCGAATCAATATTTGCTTTTGTTTGCTTCTAAACTGAATGTGGTTTTCAAGCCATGGTGCCAGCTTCTGAATCTGCTGTCAAGCTCATTGACAGAATTTAATTGCAGTAACTGGCTGCAAAAATCAAGAACTAAGAAGGATGATTGCAAGATTATCTGCCCCCTAACATTAGAAGAGTGTAGCTTTGGTCCAAACGCCTTTGTTCATTGAATAATTATGTACATGGACATGTATAAATGATGGGAACTGTAAGTTGTATTTTCAGGGCTCGAAATTCATTTTTGGGAATAGGTGCACTGGTGCACGCAAGCTATAAGATTAGGTGCACAATAAATTTTTGGGGTGAACCATTATAAAACAAAACCTAACTAGAAAGGCCAATATTTGCTTTGGAGCAAATATAGCGATGGGTTCACCACATTTTACCACATGGCAGGGAAAGAATGAGAAACACAAGGGAAAACAATGCTTTACATTGATATAACTATAGTATGAAGTAACATACAACTAAGACTACAACAGTTGGATAGCTATTCCCTACATTATTGGTTAGGATTGCATAATGCAAACTGTTGATTTTCAAGATAAAAAGAAGCGTTCATAGCCCGCATTCCAATGCTGGAGCAGGAAAGCTTAAAATACCTACCAAAACACTTGAATACAGACATACTGTCAGTATGGCATGGCTCTGTGCAGGTGTAAATGAAGTTAAGCCAGTTAAATCCCAACAGCCAATCAGCAAGGAGAATAGAGGAAAGCTGCATGCCTATTGGTTGATGCCTTGCATGCCATTGTGATGACTCATGTCCAAATGTGGTAAACACTGCACACTTACACAGTAATACATTAGCTATTACACAGCCAAAAAACTCAAATAAAACCATTCTAAAAGCCTGTATCACAATAATTTAAAAAACGCCTAGGGGTATTTGCCCACTGTACCTCCATACCAAATTTCAGGACCTTAGGCCCTAAAATGAAGAAGCTGAATCCATTTAAAGATATGGCAGGAGGAGAAGGAGAAGGAGAAGAAGAAACATCAGAAAAGCAATATGGTTTCACCACACCACTTCGTGGTGTGGTGAACCCATAATCACAGATCTTACTGCTCCTCTTCTAAGCTTGAATCTGAAATAGGAGCTAACATCAAAATCTTACAGAAGTACTACAACAAAGATTTTATTATTTTTCTGACACTTAGATGCCAAGAATATCCTGTATACTATTATACATCTAATATGTACAAAAATACCTACAAAACTACAGAAAGAATTGGGTTTACAGCTGCAATTTTGGGGGCACATGCACCCAGTATTTTGAGCCCTGATTTAGTGTTATTGTTGTCATATGGTCTCTAATGGCTTGATATCACCCCCCAGTCTGTAGAGGATATGACAGAGATCAGCCGGCTGCGTCAGGAGCGGGATGAGCTGCAGGCCATGCTGGACAAGTTTGAGCGCCACATGGCCGAGATCCAGTCTAACGTCAAAGTGCTGACACAGGAGAGGGACAAGGACCAGTCTGCTGTATCAGCAGGTGGGCACACAAAAG